TGGCACACCTTTTCACAAGCTTCGTGGCCCCATGGGGAGCTCCACCTAGGGTCCCAGTGGCGCAGCCCGCATGGCGGCGCCGCCCCATTTTGGCACACCCCTCACACGTTTCGTGGCCCCATTGGGAGCTCCACCTAAGGTCCCAGTGGCGCCACGAGGCGGGGTACGGCAAGAAGGAGGACGACGACTGGTGGCTGGAGTTCTACGCGCTGCTCTCGCGCGCCACACGCCACGAGGACCTCCTGCTCATGCGGGCGCCGCGCACCGAGTTCTTCCTGGCAGGGCCGCCGGAGGGATTGCGGAAGCAGCTGGAGCAGTTTGCTACGCGCACGAAGCGGTGCAGGAGGGAGGCGACGGCCCTCGCCAAGGAGCTGGGCTTCACCGAGTTTATCCGCGAGACTTGACTTGAAAAGCGACCCGCCCGAGCCTCGCCGTCTCTCGACGGTCTGACTGTTTGGCTTCGCGCCGCGGGCATCCCGCGCGCGTCGCTGGGACCCTCTCGGGGCGACCAGCGCGCGTCGCGGGAATTCCGCGCTGCGCTCTGCCCGGAGCCTCGCTCGCCCCCGTCGTCTCTCTGCCCAGCGGCCACAGCCTTGCCCGCTATAAGCCAACCACCTAGCTCTCTCTGCTCCGCGCAGCGGACGACCCGTGCGTCGACCCAGCTCCTGGCGGAGCATGCCGACATGGGCGTCGACGTTTATGCACGTAGACTGATTCGCACGCAGACTCATTCACAATCAGATTCACTCGCGCTCAATCTCTCGCACACAGACCTATCGTCTTCGTTCGCGTTGTGTGCCCCGCCACGCATTTCGCCACGCCCCTCGCTCGGTTCGTGGCCCCAAAGGGAGCGCGGCCAAAGATGATATTCATAACTGCGGTATTCACAACTGCGTATGGTTGGGTTCTTCGCCTGGAATTGTGTTTTTTATATTCTCGATGTTTCGTGTTTCCGGCGCTGAATCACCGCCGGAAGCTCCCAAAACCGCTCCAAGACGGCCCGAGAGGCCCCCCAAAGAGCCCCAAAACGGCCCAAGAGAGCCTCGAGACGGCCCCAGAGCCGCCCAAGACGGCGCAAGAGGTACAAGCGTATAACCATGTTGTGCATGGTAATACGTCTGTAAGTCATACACTTGTGTTTGAAACATGATGTTCGTATCAACTTTTTTTTTCAGAATTGACGCATCATTTCAAACAAACTTCTCAAGAATATTTTTTTTTTTCCGTACGCGCGTCTTCCGCGTGCCCGCCTAGTGTCATAGTCGGTGCCCACCTGCGCGTTGCAGCCTGCGCCAAGAACCACATGTAGCATACGTTTTCTGGCTGACCGTAAAGCCCCATAGCATGTGTCGCACATGCCCTGAATGAGTGTCACGGTGCTGCCCATGAGGAAAATAGAACGACACAAATATTGCATGCAGCTTCCTTGAGACGATGACCACGCAAGCAATCCTGTCGTGCACTGGGCAGAATCTCCTCACAAACGTCGCCCATGTCGCATTCACTATAATTGCAACGCCGCGCTTGTACGCATCTGCTCCTGATCCTGCGTACATGTGACCTTCTGCGAATTGTCATTTGTCTTGTATGATGGGCCTGATGGTTTCGTTAATGAGAACGACGTCCCAATGCAGCCCTTCCAACTCGACAAATGGTTCGTCAGATCTGCCTTCACACGTTAGTTTTCGAACATTCTTGTGCAGAACAATAGAAGGTACGTTCGCAACTTCATCTTGAATCATCTTCGGCTGCTAGCTTGGTGCCTTACTGCATGTAGTAGGTATTGCTGGTCGCATGGGAGGTCGAACGAGGGGGGCAGGAATTTGACCCGCAGGAACCCCATGAAGCAACACGCAGTGGATCACCACCAGGCCGTCGAACAAGGTCGTCTCCTGAGCCAGAATGTCGCATTGCATTTGCTGGTGAAGCGCAAGTGTCGATTGAAATGCTCAGTGAAACTCATCCGGCGCCAATTCTGGCAGAAGCTGGTCGTATAGAAATCCTCTCTAAAAACGTTTTCCCGGAAATGCGCCATGGTTGAAGCTCCTGCGCGGTTTTAGTGGGGTATCAGATGTCCTGCAGGGAAGTCGCCATCAACAAAAGAGGATTCCCCCCTCCCACCCCCACCAGATTTAATCCGCGGGTGTGGAATCGGAGACGAAAACAAAAATGATGCTGTAGGTTTCGAGTAGTTTGTACTGGTACCTTGTGCGGTTGGCAGTTTTCGGATTTTTGTTTTGTCACTCGCTTTCTGAGGCTGGGTCGGGCCCCACCTTCTCCCGCCACTTCCGCATTAATCCCTCCTCTTCGGCTTGCACAAATTTCCCAGCCTTCGTCGTATGCCACTTCGCGTCGTCGTCGTACCACGCTATCTTCCGTTCCCTCCCCACCTCGTCTTTGACCACAGCCATCCTTTTTGGCCAGATGATTTG